TAGGGAGAAGGGCGGGGTAGAAATACAAGAAATAAATAAATAAATAATAAATTAGATAGTGAGCAGAAAGTGAAGGCCAGGATCGTATTCATAATACAGATGACACACACAATATGTATATATATTAATCAGTAAGCAATCCTAAGATTCAGAATGAATCAGTAATATATCATGCATTGAAGAAGTATGTCTTGTTTTCTGTTTTGGACATATATCTTACATAATCAGCATACAGGTGTCCCTCAACCTATATCAGTCCCTCTGATTGTGGGAAGCCAGCAGGAAGTTGCCTCAGCTAATGACTGTGGGATTTAGTTAACAACGGCAACTGGGACTACAACTGCATTGTTTAGCAATTGAAATTCTGGTCTCAATTGCACTCTTAAGTCAAAGACTGCCTGTGTTATTTTTATGAACTTAATTGGTACCACACAAACCCCAGGATGCCAACAATTTTCTATAAAGTATTATATTTTGATATCTTTATAGCTGAAATGCATGTAACATACAAATGAGAAGGTGGCAAAATGTATTTATATATTTGTCATATTTGTATGCTGCATATTCCTGACAAAGTCAGTCCACAAAATCAAATAATGCCCAGTGGTCCTGCAGTGCCCACAATTTCCCTAAACATGTCCATTCACATCAAAATATCTTTTTAATTAAATAGCCGAACTCTTACAAAATAAGAGGACTATTTTTCTTACTACGTTTCATTTTGTTTAATATTTTTTTTTTAAAAAAAAATTTAATCTCTAGTGCACACAAAAGCTTGTAAAATGTTATGTTGTGCCACCTGCCATAAAAAAACCGCTTGATCAGATGTAGAGCTTGTCTCATGCCCCAATGATTCTTAATAATGGAAACATAAAAATCATTGCATAATGAGAACAGTTTTATACATGGTTGTTTTGAGTAAACATGATCCACAGTGAGGAAGAAAATAGTATTTAAAATCAGGATGGAGCGATTAAGAGTTTTAGCAGATGGTAGCTTTTCTGAGCTTGGAAGTTAAGGAGTGTTGGACCTGGTTACTGCTTGAATGGGAGATGTAAGGAAAAATGCTGGGCTGTAATAAAACATAAATGCAAAACATAATTTAGACAGAATGAAAATTTGCTTGCTATATTTGGCATAAAGTTGGGCTAGAATGGTTGAAAAAAAATCTTAGAAGGTAGGAGGGGCAAGCTATTTTATTATTGGCAGCATGAAAACATGGACATAGTCTTCAAATCATCAGAAAGTGAACTCAACTTGGAGGAATGAACACTAAGATAGATTATGACTAGATAAATATGGAATGGACTTAAAATGAAAAGATGAACTCTTAATATGTAAAAAAGAAGAGTTATTGTCAGGGTAGCATCTAATCGTCAATTTGATCATGTTCCTGCTGCAAAAAACTCTGGACGTGAATGTATGGATTAGAAAGAAGGAGAAAATATGCAAAACATAATTTAGACAGAATGAAAATTTGCTTGTTATGTTTGGCATAAAGTTATGTTAAATGCGACAGGGTGGTATGTTAAAACTTTGAAACACAGCACTTTTTATAGAAATGGGTTTGTTTAGATGTCTTAAGAGATCTAAACAATCTTGTAAGAATTTTAGAACTTATTTGTACTTTGGAATGAAGCTTCTCCCATTCTACACAGATTCATCCACTTCCTTCTCAGCCAGAAATAGAACATGAAATATTAATACAGAGATATTGAATTGAGCAATATGTAACAGTGGCGTAGCGTGGGTTGTCAGCACCAGGGGCAAGGCAAGTAATTTGCGCCCCCCCCTCCACAGTGGGCGGCGACCCGGCGGCTCGGATCGGATTCGCACAGGCAGGGGCAGAGAGCTGCGAGTGCGAGCGCGCCCCCCCAGATGTTGCGCCCGGTGCGGCCGGCCCCCCCTGCACCCCCCACGCTACGCCTCTGATATGTAAGTTAGTGCTCATCTTTGATGCTCTTCTTTGGTGACATGTCTTCACTTGTATTAAGAAATACTTGAAGCAATAATGTTTCACTGTTTGTTGTTCTTTTTAAAGGCTGTCAAAAGGGAAGAACTGTTTGTTACATCAAAGCTATGGAACACCAAACACCACCCAGAAGACGTGGAGCCAGCTTTAAGGAAGACTCTGGAAGATCTAAAGCTGGATTACCTAGACCTCTACCTTATGCACTGGCCACATGCCTTCGAGTGCGTTTTAATAAGAGAAAAATTAAGAGATTAAACCATAATTTGTTATTTATTTAAACCTGGGGCACAGGGCAGGGAAACAGAGAGGGAGAGAGGCTGAAATTTACTCCTTTTAAAAAAATGTGGTGGGGGAAGTGATGTGTGATCCAACTCCTATCACAATGTTGATGTTTTGTTACTTGTTCAGCATAGTACTAAGACTCTAAGAAAAATTACATATGACTCCTGGAAGTATTTTGTTTTGCGTGTTCATTCTGGAGGGCTACTATTAATTTGTATATTTCATAATACTATGAAAATTTATATAGTTCATAAGGATAAAAATGTAAACTAGTAAATAGTAATTAAGCAATTATTTTAAAAGTGCATTCGTTCTTAATGGTGTTTCCAATGGATTTGTTAACTATTTTTTATAGGCGAGGAAATAATCTCTTCCCCAAGAATCCTGATGGTACAATGCGTTATGATTATATTGACTACAAAGATACATGGAAGGCTATGGAAAAATTGGTGGGAAAAGACTTGGTAAAAGCTATTGGACTTTCAAATTTCAATAGTCGACAGATTGACGATGTTCTCAGCATAGCTTCTGTCAAGCCAGCAGTTTTACAGGTAAGATAGAAGAAGGAAAAGAGGATGTGATTGATTCTTAAGATTATGATTAGAGTAATGGAAGTGCAATGTAAAAGAAACAAGTTGTGTTTCTTCTGAGAGGCATGTCAACATATCTGGGCCAAGAAGTGGCTTCTTAAGCAGTGGGTGCACCACACCTTCCTCTTTCAAAACTGCCAGCACCATCAATCCTCTCAAGGATTCATTCACCACTCCTGTATCCAACCTGTCATCCCCTCACATGTACTAGCCAGGAGGAGTATTTATCTAAATACAGGTGGTGAAGTTCATCCAAGAGAGGACTTTGTTCCTGTCCTCAGCTGTCACAGGCTTGAAAAAGTCCCAGATGACTTTGTAAGATGTTACCTTTGTCATCTCACAAGACTTTATAAACATTTAATCCGAACAGATTAGAGTGATTTTGTCTGCAAAATATCTAGTAAAGTGGTCATAGTGGCCTACTAGAGGATCCAACGATGATTTAGGTCATATTAAATAAGGTTGCTGGATGGCCTTTGCCAATAGATTAACTGGAGAAATATTGAAGCTTTATCACCCTTACTGCCACCTACGTTCAATCACTTTCCCTTTTTATTTTTCACTGCCATTGCTGCAGGTGTCTCCTGTATTACTTTCTGAAGCATCTCTCTAAACCAAAGATGACTCTTCCCCCCTCCCCCAGATCCATGCACAGGGAGAGGATGCTCAGGCATTCTGTCAAGTATTTTCCTCAGTTCTGTGTTTGTGAATTCAACTAAGAGTCTCAATTAAACACTCCTCAGTAGACTGCTGTTGTCCCTTGAATCCAAGCAGACTCATAAGTGACCTGGGGCCAACCCTTTAATGCTTCTTTCTTCCCTACAGGGTTGTTAGTGGCCATTGAATATCAAGGATATCAGAAAGTGATCTGACCATTTTAAAGGATTGGTATTATTGTCTTTGAGTTGGTCTGAGGTAAAAGCCAATCTAACATGTGACTCCAGTCTGAGTAAGGACTGTAGTAACTTGGGGCAAGCCATGGTTTCATGGCAGTCATAAACAAAACATAAACAAAGTTTATGCAATCATAAACTTCTAAGTTGTCCTATAACATACTTCCAACAGTTTGAAATTGTCTGGAAAAATCAACCACCAGCTAGGCAACGTTAAGCAGTTCTGGAAGGCAGCGTGCTGGCCAGCAGGGATGATACTACATTAGCAGTTCCCCTGCTTGTCCTTGATACCCAGTTTCATGTACAGGACCTTTGATGTAGTCATTACTACAAGAGTGCATCTGTTCACATCAATTTCTCATTGAATGTTATTGCCTCTCCTCTTTTCCAGCCTTGGTTTCAAGTTGGTATATTCATAAAACCTGACCAGGCAGCTTTTAGACAAAAGCAATCCTTCATTCTCACCTAATCCAGTCTTAAAGGTACATGCCCATGCATGTCTGCTGCCTCCTCCAACCCATGGCCATGTAGGGACATGTTCTTACTCTAAATAAAACCGGAATTGAAAAGAATCAACTTGAGGCCAACTTCTCCTGCAATTCAGAATCCAGGTTCTTAGTTGGGACTGGGGGACAGAAATGGAGATTGGTATCAGGTATCCAATTTACCTTTTTCTGTAACAGTCTGTCTTCACTATGCCCCATACTCCCTTTGTCCGTCACTACTTTGATCCTTTCCCATTCGGTCCTCTCCTGACTCTCCTCCCAGTACAGGGCACCCCCAGCCTTTCAGTCCAGTCACCACCCTGTTTGTATTTTTGAATAATCATTCTGCCATTTAGAATATAGTTACGCTAGCAGAATGGGCCATGGGCACCCTCTTCAGGTATCCCTTCCCTTCTCTCACTCATCCCCTTCCCTGTTGAAGTCAGTGTTACCTTCCATTCCAATTCCATCTTTAGTTTTTTTTCACTGTACCCTTCCTGGCTCTCCTCTAGGAAAAAAGAGTGCTCCCTCATGCTGTAAGTTTCCTTTTCCTCCTTTGGAAGTTGGTCCTCCATTCCACCTGCTTTTGCCGTGTTCCAGTGCCAGTCCAGATTTCCCATAAATACAGTGAAGTTTGCTACTCTTTCAGCATATTATCTCTCAGCTATTTGAGTTTCTCCAGAAATGGCAGTGACCAAACCACTTCTTTTTTCATGGAGCCTTGATGATGCAGAAAGTTGCTATTTATCACTGTCTTTTCTTTCTTCAGGCAAATCTTATCCATCTTTTTCACCAACATAAATCTGTCGGTTAACATCACTCTTTCTCTGCCCACTCAAGTCTTTTTTGCAACATTCCACAATCCGTCAAAAAAATTAGGCCACTATCTCCAGTTCTCTTCCCATCTAGCCCCAGTTCTCCTTTCTCCCTTGTTATGCGCTTCCTCACATTATCTTCAACTCACAGTAAAGCTTAGCTTTTCCCATGTCCTATCTCAGTGCTTTCTTTCCTGCATATGGAGTTTCTATTCTCTTGTATCCTATCAAGAAGATCAAGAGCCGTATCTATATTGTAGGAAATCAACAGGTCAGTCTTCAGCCTTAATTCCACTCCAGGAAAATGGACTGAGAAATTAGCTAAATTAGTGTCATTTATACAGTGCATCATTTTCTCTGTTCCTGCTGTTGGCAGCAAGCAGACATATCTAATGTTACATTACTTTCTTCTTTCATTCACAACTACATCGTGTACCTGTTCTTTGATTCTCATTTGGCCAAGGCCCTCCCTCCTACCCATAGCTTGCAGGATTAGTAGTCAAGGCAATTAGCATTCACCTCAACTCTGCTGTCTCATCCCTATTCCTTATTCTGCTCTGCCAGTTTTTCCAGCTCCTGCTTTCCAGGTATGTTTGCTTTCTCCCTCCTGCATCACATATCTTCCTCACTATAGTTTTTAGTTAAAACCAGGGCTTTTTTTTGTCATAGAACACCCAGAACGGAGTTCTGGCACCTTTTTTGGACGGAACCTTGTAGGGTAGGCAAGGCGGGTTGTATGACGTGAGTTCCGGCACCTTTTTTTTTTCTCTTCAAAAAAAGCACTGGTTAAAACCAACCTGAAAGAGGGAGAAAGCACAAAAAAGTGTCCCTTGTTTCTGATGTTAATGTCTCATTTCCAAGATATGGGGAAGGGGCACCTTTCCCCCCCTCCTGCAAAGTAATTTGAGGATGTATCTTTGTGTTAAAAGTGTAGAGGCAGAGACAAAATATTCTACCTTGTAGCATATGCAGAAGGAATCCCATCACTCAGTTGAGCTCCTTTGTTTCCGTATGAGCCGCTGGAGAGCCAAAACTGCATTTTTATTAACAATGGAACTACTTAGTTTTATAGAAGCAATTTAAAATCCAGTAGAACAGGAATGGGGGATTTGTGAACCTTTAGATCTTGCTGAATGCAGCTGCTTTGATCCCTGGTCACTGGCCAAGCTGGCTGGGCATTAGGAGGGCCAGAGATGTCCCACTCCAGCCACAATGAATGAAGGTATAGGAAGAAAAGTGATCTCCATATTTTTCTCTGTGAGGCCTTCTGTTTCACATCTTGTATTCTTGTATGGACCTTGATATGGTTGTAATGTCGGTACGAGAGGGAAAAATGTAAAGCAAAGTGGAGATAATGCAGTAGCTGAAGTAATTTTGCTTCTAGTTAATGCAGCACAACTTAAAAGCCACACACAGTTTCTATCACAGGCATTTCTACATTTTGCCATTATGTTTTTTACATTAACATTAGGAGGTTTTTCTCCAAAAGAATGTAGAGCTTGAAAATGTTTTATTATCTTGATTCTATTCATATAGTTCATTTGTCACATAATGTTCATCTAAGGTAGACAAAAATGCAGTATAGACTCTAGCTCAATACAATCTGCCAGAATGTTAGCTGCACATTTGCCACCAACCCACAGTTCATGGTGGACTTAATTTCCCCTAAATTGCCAATGATTGGAACTTATTACTCTAAAATCTACTCTTTCAGCAAAGTGATTTTAATTTTTTGGCACTAGTTTGCTCACTATTGTATATTGCTTTTAATAGGTGGAATGTCATCCTTACCTAGCCCAGAGAGAACTAATAGCTCATTGCCATCAGCGGGGGCTGGTGGTAACTGCTTATAGTCCTCTTGGTTCAGGTGACCGGATGTGGAAGCACCCAGATGAGCCAGTATTGCTGGAAGAACCAGGGATAAAGAAGCTGGCAGAAAAATACAACAAATCTCCTGCTCAGGTTCTTCTCAGGTATTAGTAAATGAGCTGTTGAGAAATCAGCATTAAAGATCTAAAAGAGCAGAGAACTAAAACCTAAAACTCTTTATATTGCTTATTAATATACTTAGCTAAACACTGTACAGTAAAAATTGATGTTACAATGTTATAATGTGATGGCAAAAGGATACCAACCACTCCTGATTTTGTAAACACTTGAATTTTGATTCTGTAGTGCTGAAATATTGCAGTGATTGTGGTGGCTAAGCGAATTTAATATCCGCTTGAAAAGACAGAGTGTAGAAATATAATTCCAATACAAGTCAGGCCATCATCTGCCAAGCCCTAGGCCAGTGGTTCTCAACCTTTTTAATGCCGCGACCCCAACCGGTCGTAAGTCAAGGACTAAACCGGTCGTAAGTCGAGGACTAAACCGATCGTAAGTCGAGGACTACCCAACCGGTCGTAAGTCGAGGACTTTCCCTGCCCGGGAGTGCCGCGCATGCGTGGTTCCGCCCCCTTCGCCGGCCAAGGCGTAGCTGGCAAGCGGCAGAGAAGGAGCAGGCCGACCACCAGCTGGCCCAGCCCAAGGGAGGTAAGGCACCTGCCAGAAAAGGGGAAAAAATGGCGGACAAAATAAATGGCAGACAAAATAAATGGCGGAGAGCCTTGCTTGGCGACCCCCATGAAATGGTCGATCGACCCCAAATGGGGTCCCGACCCACAGGTTGAGAACCACTGCCCTAGGCCATTCGAAAGAGTTGCAGAGGCATTCCAGTTTTCAAAGAAGCATTGATAAAAGAGATGTCAGGGATTGAATCTGAGATCTTTATAATGCAAATTTTTTTTAGAATGAAAAATTCCCTAAGGGAGAAATGAAGCTGGTTTAATGGTTAAGCTGGAGACTTGAGTTCTAGTCTCATCTTAGACATGAAAAGCCAGCTGGGTGACCTTGGACCACTCATACTCTCAACCCAACTCATTTCACAGCGTTGTTGTTGTTGTTGTCGTCGTTGTGGGAAAAATAAGAGGAAGGAGCATTTGACATGTTTGCCATCCTGAAGTTAGTTATAAAAATAATAAAGGAGTGATATAAATAAATAAGGAAGAGGAAAAAGAATGTTATTTTTTTGCTATATAACTAAAACGTTATTATATTTTGTTAATAGCACAGTATTATTTTATTATACAGTATTAATGTTTTTATTCTGTTGAAAACAACTTTGTAGTTTAAAATGAAGATTTGCAATATAAGGTGCTTTACATACATTTTAAATAATAATAATAATAATAATAATAATAATAATAATAATAATAATAATAATAATAATAATAATAATAATAATAATAATAATAATAAATGATAAAGTTGGAAGGGACCTTGGAGGTCATCTAGTCCAACCCCCTGCTCAGGCAGGAAACCCTATACCATTTCGGACAAATGGCTGTCCAGCAAAAGCAAGGAAGCAGCTTAGTTTTTTTTAAAAGAGCCTCGGATTCTAGGAACACAGTTTGAAGTTCTATTCAGAGGACCCTGATTAGTATTCTATATTCTATGTTACAATGGCATTATATTTAACTTTCAGCCTAAAATTGTGTAGCCTTGTAGAGAAAATATTTTCCCTGTCAGAATAGAGCACTTTGGATTTTGTTTATTCTGAATGAGAAAATCATAGCTTGTTGTTTAATTCTATAACAGATGGCAAGTTCAGCGGAAAGTAGTTGTTATTCCCAAGAGTGTTACTCCTGCACGCATACTCCAAAATCTTCAGGTGAGTGGGACTTCCGACTGACTTGCAAAAAGACATTACTTGTAGGCAGCTTTGGTCAACAGTATTGAAGCTTTAGCTGTGTCTTTTCCTTGGTAATGCATTGTACAGGTAGTCCTTGCTTATTGATTGCTCATTCAGCAACCATTTGAAGTTACAATGGCACTGAAAATAGAGGTTTACAGCTGGTCCTCTCATTAGCCATCTCAGTGTCCCTGCAATTACACAATCATGGTTTAAGTGCTTGGCAATTGGTACACACGTGTGACAGTCACACCATCCCATGATCATGTGATCTCTTTTTGCGACCTTCACCGCTGGCTTCCAACAAGCAAATTCAATGGAAAAGCCAGTAGGAAGTCCCAAGTCATAGTCACATATATTATGTATAATGAATGGTTTGCTTAATGACTGCACCCAGAACTGATACTGTAAGGTGTGGTCACTGGTGTTTTACTTTATAACAGTGTCACTTAGTGATAGAGTTGCGGGTCCCAATGCAGTAAGTAACTGAGGACTACCTCTATAGGAAGAATATAATTCTCATCTGATGTGTCCTGGTATCATTTTACTAGAGCTGATGAAGGCACACATGCACATTCTGATTTGTTTGAAGTACCAGCTGATCAACTAATTTACTATTGAATCTTACTACCACAGATTCTAGACTTGTTTATGTGGTTATATTTTTTACCTGCTACACTGTACTAGTTTAATATATCTGGTGCTTGCAGTTTGTGCATTCAATATATTTAATTGATCTTCACTTGTAAGCTTCTGCCTCCCAGACTTTAAAGGAAATTGTTTCCCTTTTGATCTTGATAGGTCCAGTAGAATCCAACATTTCTGTGTGATATCATATTACTGTATTGCTTTAAACTGCACTTCAAACGTTGTTTTTAATGCTGCAATTTCCTTTTGAAGTTGTTATAATCCCTTTGATATTTTTCAAAAGCTTTAGAAAAAAAATCGGATAAATATAAATCCCTTCTCTATCAGCCCTCTTATGTAGAAATCATTAAATAACAGATCTATGGCTATCTAGAAAGTGTTACAATTAATGCTATCTTATTTGCATACTCCTGAAGTGCTCAGAGAGATTCATTTTGAATAATTTGCAAAATTTTTGTTTGTTTAACAGCTTTTTATGTTATTTCTACATATTACTTGGAGAGGTATTACATCTGTAGATGGTTGGAAAGTTACTCTTTTTTGCAATGATAGGAAGCAGAATGAATATCAGTGCTTTTCTTTCCAAAGAATTACTGTATTGCTGAGTTTATTTCTTGTCTATGAAAAAAATATTCTTTTTGTTTAACCCACCAAAGAAAATTGCTCTTGCATCTTCTATTCAGTTACATTTGTTAGGTTATGGGAAAAATGAACAGTTAATCCAGGAGAATAAATCAGTAATTGTCACTTTGGCATCTTGTCAGTCAAGGAAGGTGGCGGTAAGTTGGGCAGCACTAGCCCAGGGGTAGGCAACCTCGGCTCTTTTATGACTCATGGACTTCAACTCCCAGAATTCCTGAGCCAGCTGTGGGAGTTGAAGTCCATGAGTCATAAAAGAGCCAAGGTTGCCTACCCCTGCACTAGCCTAACTCAGGAAGCCGATTCTGTAGGACTTGGCCTTACCTTTTCATGGTGAATCACCTGCTACTTTGATTTTGCAAAAGTTCACGATGATGAAATCCCGAGTGGAAGTCAAACTTCTTCTATAGTCATGAACTATCCTCTCATTGTCGTGTTGTGACTTAGTTTGCTTGAATAACTATGGCATATTAGGCCTGTTGAGAAAGTTTCAAACTCCATGGTACTTTCTTGGAACTTTACAAAAGCTTCTGCAGTAACATGCCTGAATATATTGTGACTCATTCAGCTATAAGCGTACGATTGAACACCTTCCGTGTAACTCTTCAGCCCTTGTTGGAATATTAATAAAGCTACTACAGCAGGACTCGTGAATCTGATGTCAATGAGCTCCAATTTCCAGTGAATTCAGCCATTATAGACAATAGTGTGAGATGCTGAGATTATTACAGGGATATCTGAAAGATCACAAATTTCCGAACTCATTACAATAGTCACTATTGTCCACTATCACTAGTTTTCACCAAATTATATAATGTTGCTTTTTGTGATGAAAATTTTGCAAGGAATAAACAAACTTTATTAATATGAACTCCTACTGAGGAATGTGCTTCTCTGTGTTCAGAGATTGCTGCTTTTCTAGTACTTGTTTTTCTGCTGTATATCTCATTGAGGCAAAAATTATAAGATTTCTGTAATCTACACTCCAAATGTGTAGTATATAGCACTGCCTAATAGAAAGTGTGAGTTTTTTAAGGTTGTCTCCAGTATCAGTTTTCTTGCAAGATGTCCTGTATTAATAGTTTCGCCAAGTTTCTGAAGTTTGGGTCTATTTCTGTACAGTGCTATAAGTAGCTAGACAATGGAAGTCATCACAAAGGAGATAATTTCACAATTTAAAAATAATAAAACTTTACAGATGAAGATTTTTTTTTTACACTTAGATCTTTTACAAAGTGTCAGAAACACTGAAAAAGATTATTTCTATATACCAGGCATGCTTGCCGACAAAAAACTATGTTTTCTTTAGGTGGTTAAGATGTGCAATGCTTTAGACCTGCAGCCAAAAATGTGCTTTCGAATGGGCAGGCACATTCATATCACATCTATCTGCATCACCTTAAAGAAGCTGCATCTTTAAGGAGATGCAGCATACACACCCGTTCCCACTTCAAAGCATCTTTTGGCTTTGGCACTGAAGCATTGCACATCTCTTAGTAGATAGCTTAGATATGTTCTCCACCTGTTTGCATTTACATGTGTTCCACAAGCAGAATTTTTAAGCTATTAAGACAGCTCACGAAGCAGCAACAGTGAAAATCATAGCCTTAATTAACAGTAAATGTATTTACATGTTTTAGGTGTTTGACTTCAGCCTGACCGTTGAAGAGATGAGCTTTATTGAAGGCCTGAATAAAAACTGGCGATATATTGTGCCAATGGTTACGGTAAATGTTGTTTCTGTTCATACAAAATCAAATAAATAAAAATAAACTGAAATTTGTAAAATACCCACTGAGTGTGTTTAGTCTCCTATCCCTTCAACAGCTGGTCTATCCTGTTCTATCAAAAAACAAATACATGTTTAAACTCTATATTTGTTAATGTTTTCAATTAAAAGTTGCAGTTAAGAAATGGATTAAGGTACAAATAAATCCATAACATCCAGTAACAATATTTTCATGTTTAATTCTCCAAAGTAAAAATCTGTGTGCCCTCTAGCGGCTTGTGAGCTATAGAACAAAATTATATAGTGACCCTGTTGCCAGTTACAAAGGTTGCCTTTCAAAACTCTCACAATTTGGTAAACTTAAGACCATATCGGAAAAGTAGAATTAAAGGAATGAAATCATGTTTCATCCTATTAAAATACTTCAAATATTAAAATAAAACTAACGAACAATAATAAGACAACAGAATATATTTTTGAGAATAGTATACGTTTAGATATAACCTTTACCTTTGTTGCGCTGGTCATATTAATATACTGTAGATATAGATAATGATGATGATATCTGTTCATATCTACAGTATTTCTCGACCTTGACAATTTTCAGATATGTGGATTTTAATTCCCAGAATTCCTCAGACAGCTTGATGGCTGCTGGCTGGAGAAATGCTGGTCTGCATGCTGACTGGGGAATTCTAGGAGTTGAAGTCCACATATCTTAAAGTTGCTAAGGTTGAGAAACATTGTACTAGTGAATGGTTGAAGATCAAGCTTGGCTGCTGGGCTTGCTGACTTTTTTGAAGAAAACATGACTAAGTGGGCTGAATATGTTTATATCTTAATATTTTTTTTGCATCGTTATATAGTATTACATTGTCATTCAGTGACTTTCAGCTGTATTACATAAACTGATATTCATCGCCTTATCTGTCATCTCAGTTGCATACTGCAATAGTTTATTTAAATGTTCCTCTTGTTTTTCTTTGTAAGCTACTTGATGAAGCCATCTGTTCTTGGAAATTCTTGGTGATGTTAATCAGTTCATGGATTCTTATAAATGGCCTAAGAGAGTGATATGTGCCAATATTTAACTACGTAATGAGAATTTGTCCTTAGGATAACAAGGAGCATTATTAAGAATCAGCCATAGCTTGAAAGCTGCATTTTTAGTTTTCAAATAATGTTTATTTCATGGGTGAAACAGATTTTGACTCAGTCATGAAAAGTGCACCAGTTACCCATGCCTTTCTACCCTCTAGAAAAGAGGAAGATGGCTCTAGTTCTTATTCCTATAAGCATATGGATGAAGGACCCTGATATAAAAACATAAAATCTTGACCATTAAATCTCTGAAGTACTGCCAGGTGCTTAGTTTTCTTCTAAGACCATCAGAAACCTAAAACACTAAGCAATTTCACTTCTGATTGTGTGCTTAGAAATAATTTCAATCATATTTATTAATATTATTTATCATTTTTATTTAGGAAACTGTTACTATATAAGTCACATGCCTGTGTCTCATTTGGGTATCAGTTACATAGAAGGCCAATGCATATACAGGTAGTCCTCGTCTTACAACCACAACTGAGCCCAAAATTTATGTTGCTAAGTGAGAAATTTGTTGTGAGTTTTGCCCCATTTTACGATTTTTCTTGCCACATTTGTTAATTGAACCGCTGCAGTTGTTAAATTAGTAACACAGTTGTTAAGTGAATCTGGTTTCCTCACTGACTTTGCTTGTCAGAAGGCTGCAAAAGATGATCACATCACGGCACAACACTGCAACCATCATAAATGTGACTCAGTTGTCAAGCATCTGAACATAAACCATGTGACCGTGGGGATGCTGCAATGGTCGTACGTGTGAAAAATGGTCATAAGTCACTTTTTTCAGTGCCGTTGTAACTTCGAGCGGTCACTAAATGTATTGTTGTAAGTCGAGGACTACCTATATACACTCATGTGCCTAGAACACTTATGAATGTATGTACAAGTGAGATACTTTCAACAGAGACTCATTGAGAAAGAATGAGATCAGCCTGCATAGTTGCTTCCCTCCATCTCTTATGAGAAGAGTCTTGCACCAGGACACATCATCTTTCCCTGCCTTGCCAATACTTAAGATTCTGAGAGTTATGAAAGGGAAGTTGCTCTGCAGAAAATCTTCCATGGAGATCAAATTTGTATGGTTGTTTGGTTATGGCAAAGGATCACTGTGGTATCAATTTGACTGAAAGCCTTTTCAAAATTCTAAATGTTAGTTAAGGTCATCTGCAAAAGTGCAATGTCTCCTTCCTGTTCTCTTAAGAGAACTGGGGTAGATGTTTTCAAACATGTTTCTTTTAAAGAGTTCTTTTCAAAACTATACATTGATAAATCTGATATAGCAAATGTAAATATTTAAAACATTTACAGTTCTCGCCAAGCTTTTGTTTCTATTCTCTGATTTCTTACTATATATTAAAAAAAAAACACCAAGCTGCAAGCTGTGCTGCTTCAGATGCCTAAACTGTAGTTAGTTTAGTGATATATTTGCTATATTTGCATATCTAATGTAGTATTGTGCTGATTTTAGGTTGCAATTGATACAAAAGTATCCATTTTTTTCAGAGAAATAGAAATGATGACTTTGTTATTAAATAAAGTCAAATTTCAGAGAATGCTATATTCACTTTGAAATAATAGAAACAATTGTGTTTCCTTTTAACTAATACTTTTCTTTTATCTTTCACAGGTGGGAGACAAAATGATAGCAAGAGATGCTGGACACCCCCTATATCCCTTCAATGATCCATATTAATTCATAGAGTTTGCCAAAATGAGAAATGTATTTCCATTCAGGACTGCTAGTGCCATCAATTAAGAAATTAAAAAAACCCCTAAATAATGTTTTATATCTGTAGGATTGCATTTAATCCTGAAGAGTTAACAATGGTTTGAGAGAAATAACTGTTTAACAATATAAATTGTACAACCTGAAATTTTTTTACAAGATCTTAACTAACATGTTTCTGCATCTTTTTTTAAACATCTGGACCAAAGTGTTTTCTCAAAATGTAATAAGGTGCAAAGAGGAATACATGCAAGAAGTATATAGCAATAGCACTTAGACTTATATACCGCTTCACGGTGCTTTACAGCCCTCTCTAAGCAGTTTACCGAGTCAGCATATTGTCCCCAACAGTCTGGCTCCTCATTTTACTGACCTTGGAAGGATCGAAGGCTGAGTCAACCTTGAGCCGGTCAGGATCGAACTGACAAACTGCTAGCAGCCGGCAGTCAGCAAAAGTAGCATGCAGTACTGCATTCCAACCACTGTGCCACCAGGGCTCTTTACACTATCTTATTTTTGTTCTTTAGTGCACCTGTCTCCCTAGAATTTATGATAGGTGAAATTTAAAAAAGTCTCGCATGGCTTAAGACCTACTCTTTCACAAAAACTGAAATCCCATCTAAAATAGTTTGGTGCAATGGTTAAGATGCTGGCCTAAAATCCAGGAGACTGTAAGTTTTGATTCTGCCTTACATCTTACCTTCCTGAAAGTCATCTGGGTAACTTTGGGCCAGTCACTCTCTCTCAGCCCAACCACTTCGCAGGGTTGTTGTGGGAAAATAAGAGGAGGAAGGAGTATTGTGTATGTTCACCACCTTGCTTGTAATAAAGATGGGATAAAAATCAATAAGTAAATAAGTAAAACAGGCTTCCCAAAATCACCCTGTCCCCTTTGAATTGAATGTTAATGTATTTCCCAGCTCCCATTCATTATAGAATTTAAGTGGTGTTCAAGAGTACTAATGGCTTTCTGGGAGGGAAACTATAGAGGTTGGTGTTATCAGCATATTGACAATATCTCATCATGGTTCTGTATAGATTTGAGATCTAACTTCATAGGGAACAAGATAGAATGCTATGGAACATAGTAATTTAGCAGTTAAGATATAGAATGGTAATTCCTCCATCACTATCTTCTGGTGCAATCTCTCAGGGAACATTGAAACAACTCTAAAATAATGCCTTTAAGCATGGCCCCTGCCATGACCAATGACATTAGTTACCAAAGATTCTATGAAAAGTACTAGCACTGCACTCCTCTTGTGATTCTTAGTGCAGATCACTTATCAAAGTAGTCTGTTTTATATCCTGACCTGACAGAGTATAACAGATTGTCGCCTTCCCAAAACAATACTGTTAAGCAAATAAATTCATATTTCAGGCTTTTTTGTAATATTTTTGTTCTGTAGCTTTTATTCTTGTAAAGTATCACTGTGAAAGGTTATTATGCTCCTGTAATTAGAATTTAGGAATACAGAAACTAGGGAGCCATAGTTTGTGTATTAATCTGCTTCAGTGTTTTAATAATAATCCCTTTTAAGTAATGAATCTTGCAATCTGAATAAACAAATTACTTCCTTGTAGCAACCTCAGGAACTCTAAGGTATGACTTCAACTCCTAGGTTCCCCTAACCCAGAGATAGGCAACCTTGGCTCTTTTATGACTCGTGGACTTCAACTCCCAGAATTCCTGAGCCAGCATGGCTGGCTCAGGAATTCTGGGAGTTGAAGTCCACGAGTCATAAAAGAGCCAAAGTTGCCTACCCCTGCCCTAATCTTAACCCTGGGGAATTCTGGGAGTTGGTCCACATACCTTAAAGTTGCCACGGTTGGGAAACGTAGCAGAAAAAAATGATAATCTATATAAATAAAAACGTAAATGTTCGTTTGTTCAAAATCTTAAATCTCCAAAAGTTCTTCACCAATTGCTTTGAAATTTTGACACAACGTTGCATTCAAATACGCGCATGTTTTTATATACCTACTATTATATAGATGTCACACCTGTGACACAAACATGCATTTTCTCTTTTCTTTTCCATTTAACCAGACTGAGCCACAGCAACGCGTGGCTGGGTACAGCTAGTTTCTGATATAAAGCCCCAGGCTGTTTACATTTTTACTATAAACATCATGTAATTAGGTTAAGTCACAGATACATTTTAAGATTTGATAGCCACATAGAATGATATATGAATTGAAGGACGTTAGAAGCAGTGTAGCACTACAGATGTGGAATGTTCTTTTTTATATATAAAGTACAGTTGTATTAACTAAAGTGATGGCTCATGAATGCACACATGGAGTTTCTTGGCATAATAGGTTTAACCATAGTTAATAAAATCATGGTCTATCCTGACCAAAAGTTCTACATTTGATACTAAACTAACCATAGTGGCCAGGTTCACACCATAGGCTAAAATATGATTGGCTAGATTAGTTCATTAGCCAATCTAGCTACTAATAGGGGCTTGGACAATGTTTTTGTACAGGTGCATATTCTAAAATTTTGTTTAATTTTTATCTTAAGTGTATCATACCAATACAATAATAATGTTCAGTGCAAAAAAACAGTTCTGAAGTTTTATTTTTCAGTGTAATGCCTTTATGAAAGCTTGCAACCCAGACCAAACACTTTAGTGATTGTAGTCTTTCTACATCCACTAAAGAAATATAAGTCTAAGGCCTATTGCTGTTTTTACAAATAACTCATATATACAGTGTTTCCGCTTATGAGATTTGTTCCTGAGCTGGATTTTTTTACATTATATTGTATGGTTAACTAATTTCTGTTCTGTCTGAACCCTGAAAAGATGGTTCAAGTATTATGCAGACCATAGCATTGATTAATTCAGTAAACAATGATTCTTTAAATCAGTGTTTCTCAACCTTGACAATTTTAAGACATGTGGACTTCAACTCCCAGAATTCCACAGCCAGCAATGTTGGTTGTGGAATTCTGGGAGTTGAAGTCCACATGCCTTAAAATTGTCAAGGTTGAGAAACACTGCTTAAATTAAGGATTAATGTGGAAACAGCCACCAATTACTGCTCCCACAAATGCAGTGCTACTTCTTCCGTCCAGAAAGTTTTCATAGCGAACAGAACAGTGTGCACTTAGTTGCATAAAAGATTAAAGATTTGTCCTCTCCATCTGATCATCTCTCTGTGAGAGGAGGATCAAGCCACATTTCACACTAATGCCCTTTTATTTATGCAGACTGGGAGCAACTACGCGTACCTTTCCTTCGGGATTATTTCGGGATAGACTAGTTGATCCAAGTTAAAGCAATAACGTAAGACGGGATAAAAGCCCGGGGAATTTGTCTGAAACAAATATATTTGCACAACCAATTATTTTTAATGCTTGCAAATCGGTTCTCATGCTTGCAACCCACAACTACTATGTTGTGAGATTGTATTTTCCAGCACGCCGAGACGGTGAGCTTTATTTACTCCGATTTTTGGACTACCTTTCCCAAAATGCCAATCGAATTGCAGACGGAACCACCCAGTTCTATTACAATGGTAGCTACCGGTATTAACGACCCTCGTCAAGAGACCGCCTTTCCTTTATTTTGAAGACGTCTTCCGATTCGTCGAAAGCCCTTAGTTAGAGACCACAAGGCATTCTGGGAAACGTAGTTCCTTTTCCGGGAGAGCGTGCTTCGCGCCACTGGGGCGTGTCCTCAAGGGCTATATAAGCATCTGGAGGGGCGGTGGGCTGCGTTTGTCTGCTGATTATTGCTTCGCTTTTGATTTTCTGTGGCGGGTCGTTGGTTACCATCGCCTTTTAAGGTACAAGGGGCTTGAGGCAGGATTTCTTTCTTCCGAGCTGGATAAGCAGGAAGGGGGAGTTGAGCTGTGGGTTCGTGTAATAAAGGGGCTACAAGCGGCCGCGGTACCATGGAGCCTTTTCGGAGGCTTTACGCGTTTATTCTCAGGTCGTAATCTGTGATGTTCGGACCCAGCTGTACAGTTTTTGATCCGGTTTTTTTCCTGTTAGTTTTCTCCATTTCTCTCCCCCCCCCTTTGAGTGGGTTCGTACGTGCCGTCCTCTGCGTGATGGAGGCGGCGGTTCTTAAAAAACCGAGACACCACGTGACCTGGCTGGAGTTTATGCCGCCATTTTTAATAGCTATCAATCCGGCGCGCGCCAAAGCGAGGGAGGGGGGGGTGGTGGTAGTAGAAGGAAGGGAACGAGTCACGTGGCCAGCAGCCTTGGCCCATCAAAAGCGGCCGTTGAGATTTGGCGCCGAAAGCGCTGACAGGAGAGGCGAGAAAGTGGCCCATTGTCTCTTCAGGTGAAGGCTTCCGTAGGAAGCGGGACGCTTCCTCTTGCAGAAGAAATGACTTTAAAACATATTTGAGAAACCTGAGTTATCGGTATTGGTGCCAGTCTGATGCCTCTTGACACATTTGGGCGTATTATAGGGCCTGGGTATATTTATTGTATCCCCTGTGGTTTTTATTAGGACAGGAAATGAAACATGCTTGAGAGACTAAAGCTTCAAATGCAATTGCGCAAAATATATTTTTTTTAGTTTTTCCAGTAATTATTCACATGCTTGTGTAGGTATTTCAGAGGATCATATATTCTTTGGTATAGCTTGTCATTTAAAGCTATGGGAAATAGCAAGTTGTCCATGCGGGTTTTTTGTCACTAGAATATATATCAAATCACATATGCTTCCTATATATATATTGAAATATATAGAAACCGTTTTTAAACCCATTGTGAGTTTTCAATTTTAATATTATTATTGCTCTCTTGGCAATGAAAAAGCTAATGATTTGCCACTGCATGAGTCAACTTATCTGAAGTAGCAAGTTATTTTACACCACACTTAATAATTTTGTAATTGTTATTGATGTATTTTTTAACTGATTGTCAGCCGCCCTGAGTCGGCAAGGAGAAGGGCGGGATATAAATTCAATAAATAAATAAATAAATAAATTCAATAAATAAATAATTTAGGTGGTAGCCTAAATACTTGAAAATGTGATAAATGCTTAGTGTTTATGTTCCAAATGCCTTCTGGCTAAACTTTGAAAACTTCCTAGTTTGCCTAACTTAAATTTTCAGTTTCAGGATGACAGAAGAGGCTTCTGCTCCCTCTACTTCTGCTGACAAAACAGAGAGGTAAGAAAGAATTGGATAAAAAACAAACACGGGAGAGCCAGAATAATGAATTAATTGAGCTCTTCACTCAAGCTGATAAAGGTGACACAATTGTATTTTGAGCATTTGGTGCTATTGATTTTAGAGC